TCTTTTACCAAAGCTGACCTAGAGATGGTCCAGCACCCATATAATGATGCTTTGGTAGTATCCCTCCAGGTTGGGGAGTGCCAAGTGAAACGCATCCTGATTGATCAAGGCAACTCTTGCGACATCATGTATGTTAGATGTTACAAAGAGCTGGGCCTTTATCCTGATGACTTAGAGTAATCCAATGGCCCGATGGTCGGCTTCAATGGAACGCCGACGTGGCCACTGGGCGCAACAAGCTTGGAAGTACAAGCTGGCACTAAGAAGATCAGGACAGAATTCATGGTGATTGACACACCTTCGCCATACAACATCATCTTGGGAAGGCCATGGTTGCATGCAATGGGGGCAGTTCCCTCAAACATTGCATCAACTATTGCGGTTCCCAACAGAACATGGGATTGAAAAAGTCAGAGGGGATCAACTGCAGGCGGAGAATTGCTCTATGGCAGTAATGAAATCCACCTGCAGCAATCGAGAACCAGAGAAGGCAGAGATTGAAAACGAGGACATAGAGGTCCTAGATGATGTCGGCAAGGAGCCAGCCGAAAAGAGTGAAGAGGCACTGAGGAAAATCCTCGTCCAGGAGGGTGATGAAGAACGCTTCTTTCTTTTCGGCTCAGGCTTAGCCGAAGAAGAAGAAAGAGAATTTGAAGCTTTTTTGAGAGCAAACATTGAGGTATTTGCTTGGACACTTTACGAAATGCCTGGCATTGACCCCAAGGTCACTTGCCACCAACTGAACGTCGACAGGTCGGCCAAACCTGTAATCCAACGAGCAAGAGGACTGACGTTGATGCACGTCGAAGCAGTAGAGGAAGAAGTAGACAGACTTCTAGAGCCTAGGACCATCCAAGAAATCAATTACCCGATATGGCTATCAAATACAGTGGAAGAAGGAATGATAATCAAGGAGCAAGGAATGTTAACATCGGCCAACAACAGACTTTTTTCAGAAGCAAAAAAGGTTACATATGCAAAGAAAACAAAAGTGCAAAGATGAAGACCCTAAGAACTAGGGACTAAGACAAGAACGTCAGACTAATCTACTTCAACCGTTGACGGTGGTTCAGCATTGGCAGTCAGCTGGGAGAGCTTCTCTACCATTATCTCGGCAACAATTTCAAGAAGGGACGTGGTTCTAAGACTATACAAAAAACAGAAACGAAGGCAAGAATCTGGAAATACAATAAGAAAAACAAGAAGAGAAAAATCAGAGTCAAGAAGATGACAAAGTTCAAAGAATAAAGCCAAGTACACAGGCACTAAGTAAATATGTGAAGAACAAGAAAGTAATGACCCAGACACGATGTTAGCAACAGAAAGCGGATATGGCAAGAACAGTGCCAGGCGTTCAAGCAATTCAAAACTTGAAAACAGACGAAAATAGAAGACAACAGAGGGCAAGTAAACGGATTCAGAAGAGTTATGAAAGATTGAGCTTAATAAAAGAGTTTATGAACCTACCAAGAGAAATGAACGTCGATATGAAGATCGCTGGAGTCAAATAGATGACTAGAAGTCGGGAATCCACCGAAGAATGTGAGTGGAACAGTTGCAAAGCTCTTGGAGTTTACGAATTAATGGAACAAGAACCTCGGCTAGGAGGTGTAATCTCGAGCAGCTTGGAAAGCATGAAGCTTGATACTTGACAAAAGTGGACAGTAAAGTCTAGGGAACTTTAAGGTCGGCGAGTTTGATCTCGGACAGAGGGGCACAGATGAACGAACAGTGTAGGTTCCATCACCTCAGAATGCCGAGGTAATAGAACCTAGGGGGCAGTTGTGAGGATATATTTTCTGAGTACTAACACGTGGCAAGGTGACGTCGACGTATCAGCCGAGGTGCCACGTGTCTTGGTCGTTGTGCCGAGGTCATCTCGGCTAGGCCGAGGTTGCCTCCGAAGATATCGGAATCCGAGATAAGTGGATAAGGGACAAGAGCCCTAGAATGAAGAAAAAACTTCAGTTTGGGTAAAGATAAGACTCTTAGAGAGTTTATCCTAATCCCACTAGGAGTCTCAGATTAGCAGTAATCCTAAGTCCATTAGGGTCAGGCTCCTATTGGGACTAGGATTGTATTGGCTATAAAAGAGAGGTAGCCCATGGGTCTAAGGTATGCTTTTGATACTCAAGCTTGTGAGTTTAGCATTTGATTTATTTTTGAGAGATATACTGACTTGATCGTCGAAGTGCCTCTGGGTGGTTGAACCATCGCCGGAGACTTCTCTTTCTGTTGCAGGCCATCTATTCTGCCAGTACTTTTTCAACTAATTATTAGGCTTACAGTATGATCAGAAAATTACCCACACAATAGCCAATACCATTTTATTTACCATGCATGAAAACCACTTTCATGTATAGTAGAATTTTTCCATCACAAATGTAAGAGACAGACAATCTATAATTGGTGCATAATTAAAGAGGGAGCCCATGGGTCTAAGGTATGCTTTTGATACTCAAGCTTGTGAGTTTAGCACTTGATTTATCTTTGAGAGATATACTGACTTGATCGTCGGAGTGCCCCCGGGTAGTTGAACCACCGCCGGAGACTTCTCTTTCTGTTGCAGGTTAACTAGAGGCTATCTATTCTGCCAGTGCTTTTTTAACTGATTACTAGACGGGCAGTGTGATCAGAAAATCACCCACACAATAGCCAATACCTTTTTATTTACTATACATGAAAACCACTTTCATGTATAGTAGAATTTTTCCATCACAAAAGTAAGAGACAGACAATCTATAATTGGTGCATAATTAAAGAGGGAGATTCTCTTAAAAGCCAAGATTGTACGAGGTGACATTTCACCCAAGGTGACCATCTAAGTTGAACAACAATTGGACTAGTTTCTCAATTGATTTTATTCAAATATGGCATATACACAACTTTGGTACGTAGTCTCCAATTACCATATTTATAAAAGCCTTTAATTTGTAATTAGAACAAATTTCATATATGGCATATACACAGCTTTGGTAAGTAGTCTCCAATTACCATACTTCCAAAACACTTATTGATTATAGAAGCCTTTAATTTGTAATTAGAACAAATTTCCCATTAAACAACCTACAACTCAAAATTGTTTATATATATCTACTTCCTCTATATGTTGTCTTTCTTGTATTGCTTTGAAATATTGAAAATTAACTTTTGTTTTTCTTTGCTATACAAAGAAGAAGAAGAAAAAAATAAAAGAGGTAAATTACACTCACATCTCTTAAAGTTTGAAAAAAAAATACAATTAGCGAAAGAATGTTGATAACTTCCCTTCTCGAAAGATTAAAGTGATCGAAATTAATAAGAATTATAAGAAAACACTAAAATAAATAAAAAATATATATATTTTAGCAAATTAATACTATTATATTAAGTGAAGGTCAAGCCAAGTCTATCCTTTACTTGTTTTTCCTTATGTTATGTGCCCTTCAATTTTCTAATTTTTTTATAAAAATAAAGAACATTACATAGATGAGAGGAGGAGAACTTGAACTTTGGATCTAAGGTCTAAAAAAAGAAAAAATCACCACTTGAATGACATACAATATATAATAAATATTTTATTTTATTTTTATTTATTTAAATTACACGCATTTCGTGACCATTAGGATAAATAAATTTTTTTAAAAAAAATAGTATAATTATATCAAAATATAAAATTAATTATATATATTTTAAAATTTCAAGACGCGGATTTAATTTACCTAAAAATAAATCATTGTTACAAAATTAAATCCCAAAACAGTAGGACTTGATTGGATCTGTATGCATGTGGAGTCGGGTTAGTTGACTGTCAGGTTTTTCTTTCAACAACCAGATGGACACAAAAGTCCAAGACCACTTTGGCAAACAAACTTGTTAGAGAAAAGAGAAAAAGCAGCACCCGGAGTAGCATTTTATTGATAAGACAAAACAATAATCAAAATGTTTAATGTACCATATAAAATTCATTTAAGATTTGAGTTTTATCATATAGAGTTGAATATGTATCACATTATCTTTCTTAATTGAATTGGGATTGGTCTGAATTGTTTGAATTATGTACACTAGATGACCGGCGGGATAATCAGCATTACCCTTGTCAATCGCGGTTGTTATTCTTATTAATCACGGCTGTCACCCTTGTCAATCGGTGTATCAACCGACATCCATTCTTATGACCAGCATCCTTCCGAATGACTGATTCGAATGACCTTCTGAATGACCGACCGGACGACTAGCATGCATAGATTCGGACACTTTGAGCGAACCCAAATTCAGTGGATGTAGCATTACTGCTTTCTCAATATATTGAAGTCCCTATTATGAAAAGTAGAGATTTACAGTTTCAAATTGTTGTACGGCAAAAAAAACAAGAACTTAAAAATAATGTATTTTCGTACAAAATTTTTTATTTTTTTTACCAATTAAAATACCTCATTAAATAATTTTACTTTGTAATAAAAAAAAATTAAAGATAAAAATATATTATTTTTTATGCCGGATAAATAATTTGGATGTAGATACTATAATATTTGAATCATTGATATTCTAGTGAGTAATAAGGATTTTTGGCCAATTAATGTATCCCCTGTAAATTTTAGAGGAAATAACATATCAGTGATTGCTAGAAAAAATAATTACAAAAATAAGAAAAATTATAAATATTAATAATTAAAATCATTAATTTTTACCCAACAAATCTTGTGTGTAATTATAAGAATCTATTTTTTAGATATGGTGGCATTCTTTTTCTCATATATCATTTTCTAAGGTTTTGTGAAGTTTTTCTAAGATTAAATGGTTCATTTTGATTGACTTTTATGGAAAAGTTCATACCCTCAACTTCTTTGTTGTAATACTAAGAAAATATTATACATAATAATTTTTCATCAGATTTTATCAAATTCTGCATTTTTTTAAAATTTATTTCCCTAATAAAATTGTAGCATGACTCATTTTCCCATTGCCATTCTCATACTCTATTTCAAAAGGACATGTCACCTACTGAACAAGATATAATTTTTAACTACCTTCTTTTTATTCATAACTACCAATTATAAAACAGGGAAACTTCTGTAACTAGTTTTTTCTGTGTTTGTGTGTGTTTTGAGGTTGAAACTTGAAAAAATAAAAGAACTTTGAAGAGAAGAGAGAGAATAATGGCTGTGGTGGAGAAAGCTGGGAAGAAAGTGATGGTGGCAATTGATGAGAGCATGTCCAGTTACCATGCCCTCATGTGGTTGCTCAAAAATCTCAGGGAAACCATCAACAGCTCTGGCAATCCTCTGCTTATTTGCATGGTTCAGCCATCTCCACCCACTAATCCCAATGTCTTCGCTGCTCCTCTTGGCAATGCTCGCATCAACTTCCCTATCTCATCCAGTTATGTCTACTCTCTCTCTCTCTCTCTCTGTGTTGAAATGATTTGTATGAGTTCATGTATACATAATTATAAGAACCCATGTATGTAAATGAAGTGATTTGTATGAATCCCAGAGTAAATTAGAGTTTCCACTCTCCATTCACAAGTTTCTGATTTTTTATTTTTATTTTTTTGATGGCAGTGGAGTATGTGAAGTCTGTCCAAGAACAGAACAAGGTGGTTTCAATGGGGATTTTAGAGAAAGCTAAGGGTATCTGTACCAGTCATGGGGTATGGCCTTTTTTTTTTTCCCTTCCAAGTTTCATTTAATTGAGATATTTGTTTAGTTGATTAAATTATCCGTTGCACAGATGATTTTCATCTGCATATTTTAAGCATTTATATTTTTGATTTGTTGGAATAGATGGATTAGATTAGTGGGTGTCTGGATTAACTTGAACATAAATTACTAAAAATTTTATTGAGCAAAATCCTAGTTGGTCTCACCTAAAATTCTGTTTGCTTTGGTGAAAAATATTTTCTTGAGATTTTTTTTTTTTGAGAAAAAATTATTTTACAAAAAGTTTTGATCTGCAGAATGTTTTCCCTAGATTTGCTTGCATCTTTAAAAATGATGGTTTGGTAGTTGTGGTGACGTGAGCAGTGGAGGGAGGTCGATGACGGTAAAAATTTGCATGTACAAAGATTTCCACCCATTTGTAATTTTTTTCTGATTTTCGATTAATATGAGATTTTTCATTATATTTATAGTTTAGATTTAAATTTTATATGGCATAGATCACATCCAAAATGAATAGACACGTTTTAAATTTTATACGCTTTTATTATCCAAATGTTTTGTTTTTATGTGAATATATAACTTTGTTGTTTCCAAATTCACTTTGGCCAATTTCTGTGAAGTCCTTATCATTCTTCTTTCTATACACATATCTGTTTCTTCTTTTAAGTTTTTATCAATGTTTTCTTCCAGAACAGGTTCAACTATAAGGCCACTTAGCTTATTACCTAAGTCTCTAAATTAAAAAAAAAAAAAAGAAATTTATCATTAAAGGTCACAATTTTTCAAAACCCCAATAAAATAATGTCTCATTTTGATGTTTAGTCTAAGATCATACAAAACCTTGGCTGCTATTGTTTTCTTCATGCTTCAGGACATGCTATATTTGATTATATTGTTTTAACTTGCAACAGGTAAAAGCAGAAACAATATTAATAGCAGAGGTTGGGGATCCTAAAGTGGCAATTTGTAATGCAGTTGAAAAGTACAACATCAATCTACTTATCTTAGGTGATCATGAGCTTGGATTAATCCAGAGGTTTGTTTCCTTTCTTCTATTTTTTTTGTATGATTAATTTTACTTCAAATTAGTTCTTTGAAGAAAGGGGGGGGGGGGGAGGGAAATGGTTTTATATGAAAAATTTGGAAGAATAACATTTTCTATTATGAGTTGTGTTTTCATTTTTGTTTTTCAGGTTTTAGAAATTAAAAATAACAATAATAAAAGTTCGAAAATGTCCGTCATGCTCATTTAGTGCGGAAACGGATTTCAAAAATAAAATTTTGACTTTTCTAGAAAGTGGATTGTTTTTGAAAGTTTTTCAGAAAATGAAACACAACCAACCCGGTTGATAAGATGGCTTCTCTGTTTCTCAAATGTTGACTTGTTGTAATTTTTCTTCAAGAAGTTGAAAAATATGTAAAGCTTATTCCACCTGCTTCTGCATTTACTATTTAATTGATGACTTTTGGGACTCTCAGATGTATTTTAGTACACTTAAAAATATTTGTTTCCAAAATGAATCAATATCTTGATGATGTGTTGTTAGATCTCCTATAGTCAAAGATAATGAATTTCCACTCCAAGAAGTTAGTTAGTTAGGTACTAAATCAAATCTGCTGTTCATGATGAAGCAGGGTTCTTGTTGGAAGTGTGAGCAGCTACTGTGTTCAGAATGCCAAGTGCCCTGTTCTTGTTGTCAAGAAACCACAAATTAAGTAGTTTATATTTGTTTAATTTACTAATATTAATATGGAAAATGAGTTGGACGCCCTCAAGGACACACCCCTTTTGACCCTCTCTGCCAAATTTTTTTTTTTCCTTCCTTCTCCTCCAATCATCACCCGCCACCCGCCACGTGTGTGTGGGGTGGTGATTGGAGGGGCCTCAATCACTTCCCTATTAATATATGTGTGGTGTTTATGTTTGTATATTATTTGAATGTTCTCTGACAATGACATGGTCCCAATTGTAAATTATCCATACAAGAAGACTTTTTAATAGTTGAATTTTTTTTTTTTTTTTTTTAAAAATTTTTGTGTGTGGAATATAATCACATTGAATTTGTAATCACTGTATTGCATTGTTTTTTATACAACTTTGAAACATAACCAAAGATGTTATACATAACCAATATTATTTTGGATATAACCGAATATGACAATGGATCGTGACTAACTTTGATTTGAGAAATTTAAGAAGAAATTAAAAAATATCTAGAATACAATATGACAACATCACAATATTCGTTTTGATAGATTGTGGAGTCCATACAAAATGAATGCAGTGTTGATAACATTACATTCTAGGCACATTTTTGAAAAAAATAAAAATAAATAAATAAAGAATAAAAACAGTTGACATATTTTAATAAAGAGCTTTGAGGTGAGACGATCAATATAACATTTTCAAAACTAGAACACAATTCTATTCTTTCCTTTTTATACCCATTGCCTCACAGGAGAATTGGATCATCCGTTGTCATTTAAATATACAATTAAGAGTTGCTGCCAACCTAACTCCGCCTTGAGCTAGCCGCTGGTTGACAATTTGGGAACGGGCCGGAAGTATTGATCTGGAAGCAGGGTTTAAATTATTTCTATATATATATATATATAATTAAAAAAAAAAAGAAAAAAAAAGGAGAGCTATGAATTGGGATAAACTTTGAAGTTATGTGTGACATTACCATTGTTTACACCTCTATATGCTCATACAAGCTGCTGTAATACTTTCAGATGCAAATCTGCATGAAATAAATATGTATTCAACTTCAATTTCAGTGTGTGTATTCCTTCTGTGTTCTTTTGTACTGTTGCTTTGAATTCAAGTGAAGTTAATTAATAGACAAGCTTGATCAATAACCAATCTAGCACAGGCTGTTGTTGAGTGTTGTTTTCAAGTTTGTATCTTAATTAATGAGCTTTTCTTTGCCAAGAAGTTTTCTTTTGAATGAAGATTGGTATTTGTAGAAATGACAACTAATAATGCTACATATCTAGAAAAATTACTCTAAAAGTACTGAACATTTATAGAACACATTCATTTTAGGTGCGACCAATTTTCTACCAACTTTAAATCTATATCATACAACTTGTTTTGTGATATAATTCAGGGTAATTTTTCATGGCTGATAGCATTTCTTAATGAAAACAAAAGTGTGAGTGTAACAATACAAAGGTAAAAATGACAAAAAAAAAAAAAAAAAAAAAACCTTAAAAACAATGATTTTTACTTGTCACAAATATATTTCATTAAACATCTCCTTAAAACTAAAATAGAACAATTAGACTTAATGCTGTATACACATAAAAATGGACTCATCACCAATTTTTTCTTATTAACATGCATTCCATTGCCTTGTGTCCAAATGTGAGAAAATAAAATAAAAAAATGTAATTATGTATAGATATAGCATTAGTATTTGGGGCTACAAAACATTATTAACCTGTGTAGCCAAACCCATGTCCTTGTACATATCAAACTAATTGTACTCATGAAAACATACGTGTCTGGGCATTTTTTTTTGGGGGGGTGAATAGTGTCTGGGCATGTCATCATCTTTTTTCCTGTAATCTCTTAGCTTGATTTTTCCATTTATTCTATTAAAAAAAAATCATTATGACAAATGTGAGTACAACAACAAAAATGTCATAAATGTTTAATATATCAACTATACTGGATTCCTAAGAGTAACAACATATCGTAATGTTCTTTTTTGTTGTGACGATGAGCTCATTGACATCTTCGAAATAGAATATTTTTATGTCTCAATTTTGCTGCTATTCCAGACCTACATGTTTCAACATGAGAACTCCCGTTTGGATAGGTTATTTTAGTTGATTATTTAATTTTTTACGAAAAGACATGTAAAAAAGTAAAGAGAGCCTAAAAATCTATCAACATATGCACTATACAAAAATAAATAAATAAAACAACCCTTCTACAATTTCAAGTTCTTCACATGATTAGGTAGAGTAGACAACAATTTTTTAAAGTAGACGCATCGTACAGTTCACTCTTTTCAGACCCTGCAATAGCTGGAGCAGGTCCGGCTTTGATGGCAAACCACAAAGCAGCCACTTTGGACCCAAAAATAAGGCTAAAAAAAAAGACCCAAAATTAATTTAGTTCACAAGAAAAAAGGCTCACTTAAATTTTAAAGGTCCCAATTTGTTGTTGTTCTTGTTGTTTTTTTTAAAGGCCTAATCTGAATTCCATAACAAATAGGCCCACTTGAATTTTTAAGGTCCAAAGTCGATTCTTCGAAAAGGCCCAATCTGAATTAGAGAGACCCAAAAATTTGGGACTCTAATTTATATTTCAAAAACTTTTGAGACCAAAGTGTAAATAATATAGAACCAAAGCCTTTTGACTTACCTGATGGGTTTCCTCGGTGGTAAGAATTGGGAAACAATACAGAAGCTTCGTTTGGCATTGGCATAGGATTAGTCAATTTTTTTTACATCGGGACTGTTTTACCTTTATTTTTTTAGTTCGGTTTGATTTGAATTTTTTTTTAATTTTTTTTGACTTTTATAAAAGAAAAAGTGTAATAATTATAAGTTAGATGTGATATTTTATTGGGAGCTTTTTTGATAAATCCATTTTCTAAGAGCTTTATTCCATCAAACCCATATTCTTTTTGACTATTCCATTAGGTCCAATTTGAGATAAGAAGACCAAAATACCCTTTTCATCTACTTATGTTCCATTTAGTTCACATTATTTTCTTATATTTCAATAAGTCCTATGGGTGACATAATTACCAAAATACCCATAATGTGAATGTTCACATCGTCAACGTAAATGTTCATATCGTCAATGTGTAGGGGCCCGGCCCATGTCGATCCTCGTGGGTGCCCTGAAAAATTCAATTCGAGTCGGGCCGGGCCGGCCCACAGGCCAAAAAAATAGGCCCGGCTCGGCCTGTTGATAATATAAATATTCACATTGACAAGTTAACATTCACATTGATAGGAGTGTAAAATTGGCCCGCGGCCCGTGGGCGGCCTGAACCCCGCCTGCGGCTCGTGGGCTGCCCGGGGCGGGCCCGGCCCGGCTCGTTGACAATGTGAATATTCACATTGACATGTTAACATTCACATTGATAAGAGTATAAAATTAACCCGCGCCCCGTGGCTGCCTGAAACTAGCCCACGGCCCGTGGGCGGCCCGGGG